GAAGAAAACAAAGTAGAGGAAAAAAGTATTCCATCGACTGACCAGGAAAAAACTTCAACTACTCCTTCTCAAGGTGAGCCCCTAAAAGCAGATGTTGAGAAATCAGATGATGTTGAGGAAAATCTTAAATCAGGCGAAGAATCAATCAAAGAGTCATCAGCTAATCTTGTTATTGACTCCAGTGATATTGGCCCCGTGGATGCTAATAACAAAACCGTGGTACTTCTAATGGATAATGAACCAAAAGCATTGAAAGTTCGCCGTTTGACCCGAGCCAATACTGAAGAGCTTGAGGGACTGTTTCAAGCACTTGAAAAACAGCTGAACGATCGCAATCTTGTTAAATCCAAAGATGGTAAGCTAGTTCACGCAGAATACAAACCGTCTGCTGAGCAAATTGAGCAGGCACAAGCCATATCCGATCTAAGCAAAGAAATTGAAGACTTTACCAGTCGTAAGCCAGAGCAGGAACCACCAGAGCAGAAGATAGAAAAAACAGTCGAAAATGAGCCCAACTATGATTGGGGTCCGAATCCAGTTAAGCATCATTTAAAACGAAAAACAGTCTATCTGCCGTCCACTAAAGAGCTGGAGGCTCGCTTTCGCTCCCTCGAGCGTCAAATCAAACTACTCGAGGATGTTGAGAAGATCGATGTAGAGCAGAGACTGACTGAAATCGAGCGCAAGATCAAACTTCAGTACTCGCTATCGCATGAAAACGACCTAAACAAGTACATTGAGCTTTGCGAAGGCAAGGGCTTAGAGGACGACGTACCTGTGGCAGGAGAGACTTCTCCGGTCGTCGAACGTTCCCGCAGTCCAGCACGTAAACAAACTACAAAATCACCATTTACTTCACCAGGTCGCAAGTCAGTGATCAAATCACCACATGCTTCGCCTTCACGTAAGGACAGGAGTGCCACAAAATCGCCTTATACTTCACCGACACGCCAAGGACAGAATACACCGCACACATCACCATCGCGCACCGTCAATAAGAAAAGTCCCTACACATCTCCTGCTCGTCGCCAGAGGCACAAAGATGATCTGCCCATCTCTGATGACTTAGAATACAAATACCGCGTACTTGATTTGGTGCGTTCCAAGTCCAAAGACAATCTAGCTAAGCGCAAGAATGACCCCAATAAAAAGCCACCAATTCATCCGCTTGAAATGCTGCTGGATCCAAGTCCGGATAACAGTGAAATACCGACTACCGGGGAGCTGGAGCACCGCATACGCCTCCTAGACGAGAAATTGAAGTCGCCTGCCCGTCACAAGTCACGTTCCCGTTCTCCCACGATCGATGATATCAAGCGAAAGAAAATGTTAGATGATCAGCTACCCAAGACCCCGGTACACAGCCTGGAGCGCTTAGTCTACTCGCCCAGTAAACCGGAGCCACCCACTGCCGAGGAACTTGATAAACGCATACTTGCACTAGAGAAGGACCAATGCTTTGATTTCAAGACCCAAAAAGACTACAAAGAATTCAATCAAAAACTCAAGGATGTGGTTTCGCCTTCGGTTTCCTACGAGGAGTTTAAAGCAGCCAAGTCACGCGAGCAAAGTCCCCGACGCCAAGCGCCCACAACGCCCAAGTCAGCAATGCGACGAGACGAGAATGAAGAATTTCGCGACTATCGCCGCGAAGAGATGACTTCGTATCGGCCTACTAGCCCTAAGGTCATTCGTTTTCGCGATGAGGACGAGGACTACTACGAGGACTCGTGGCGACCCAAGTCACGCGAACGAATGGTGGGCAACACAAATAATGTTTTAAGCTTTATGGAGGAGAATTCTAAAATTCTACAACGTATTCTTAAGAAGACTCTTGCAGATCAGCCATCAGCCTCAGCATCAGCTAGTCGCAGCTACAGCAGCGGCGCAGCGGCCGCGGCAGCAAGCTCTGAGGGACTCGACGCCCTAGGCAGTCGCCTAATGCGGGTAAGTGATTGATAAGGGCAGCATAATAATAAGCTTTTTCAAATAACAAGTGCTTATTAATAATTCCTTCTTTTCAAGGAAACATCGCCCATCACTCGTACAGGAACGCACACGGGCGTCCCGCTGCGCACTGGAGACAACATCAACGAACGCCTGAGCTCCATTAAGAACAGCATCAAGTCCATTGACAGCTTGTGCGAGGAGAAGTCGTATCAGAAGGAGAAATGTCAGCGCTATATTGACTCTTTGTTCTCGGATTCATTGCACTTTGCCAGCAAAAAGAACTCAGCAGAAGATCTGACACACAGTCGAAGCGAGAGTCGAGGACGTGGAACGCAGCGCTATAGTGACTACACACCTGCCATACGCATTAGCTCAGAGCATCGCTCACTGGGATCCGTGGAGTCCATGCGCACGGGCAGTCCACTGCTTGCGACCAGTCCGCCGCATCATCGTTCGCATAGAGATATTAGCAGGGAACTCTCGCCGCGACGCCGACGGGAGGCGGAGGAGCTAGAGGAACGGGAAAGTAGTAGGGTAAGACGTGATAATATGTTGCCAAATTATTTAGACGATAATCGTAGCGAACTAAGTAGCTGCAGTAGTTTAACTAAGTTTCATAAAGTAGATAGACAACTAGAAGAAACCTGCGCCAAGTACGCTGACGACAAACGCTCGGCCTGCAAGTCCCCATTGAGCTCGCCATATGAGTCAAGAACAACAGCCACACGATACAACACAAAAACAGCGAACCCAACCGTCGACAGCTTTCCTAGGCCCATATCGCCCTATCGCCAGCCCTATGACCCGAACAGGCCAACGCGTTCCAATACGCCCGTCTACCAGCCAGCAAAGCTTGAGATTCGGCACACCACCGTCACCTCGACCTTCTACGATCGCTTTCTAACGGAGAGACAAATTGAGAAGCAAACACTATCGCGTCCCGCAAGCCGTTCACCCATTGTCTCTCCGTCGGCAACGACCAAAAGCTACAGCGATATCCCCGACACTCTGACTGTTCACAAATATAGCCATGAGCCCATGGTCGATGTGACCACCTCAAGCAGCTACTCACCTCACATGTCCCGTAGCTATGCGGGCAGCAGCAGCAACTACTCATACCTCACCACCCATACAGCTACCGAAGCTCCAGCTTCGAGCAGCGCTATTGCTTCCGAGCTCGGTGCCTCTCCAGGCGGTAGTGCTTCGGATCTGCGCATGCGAAGCAGCTGTGATAACATTCTCACTACCAGCACGAGCACAGGCATCCCATATTCAAGTGCTCTCGGTCAAACTTCTACACCAAGCGTTCATGCTTCCACCAGAATTGCTACCACAACAGCATCGGCATTCGCGCCCTACAATTTCACTAGCTCATTTACCAGTCGCTTGAACGATCCGGTAACCACCACTGGCGTCTCTAGCCTTAGCTCCAGTCTGCAAACATATTCCACTGGTGTCTACAATCCCATGATGTCATTTACATTGCGAGAACCTTCGATAAACCCCTTGCCTGGTGGCATGGGCAGCACCAGCAGTGCTTCCCTGGGTCAGCATCAGTACAAGAGTGGCTACAGCTCGAACTACAACTCGTGTGTGGCAAATAGCGAGCCAGATAAGCCATAGGCCATTCTCCTTTAAGTAAAGGTTACCATCTTATAAGCATGTCACATTCTCAGCCCACAGCACAAGCTCAAACAAATTACTTTATGCTTACAAAATTTACTCGTTGTAATTATAACTAAAAGATAACTTCGAAACCTTCAAGCAATATACATATAATCTTTAATAGGATTTACACATACTCTAAAAAAACAAAAACATACTTAGGGCGACCTTTAACTACAAATATAACCAATAAAATCTATATTCTATACACATCCGAATTTTAAGGATACTCTTGCACTAAACCATTCTGGCTTCTTGCAATTTGCAATTACCTCATCTGCATTCAAGGCACCAATCCATGTAGCTGATCAAAGAAAGAACCGAAACGATTTTTATACAAAATAACTCTTACATACGAGTATTATACATACGGAATCCTTAAAGTACTTACTAGAAACATTACTAAAGCTATGAATCTTTTAAGAGTTGTGTCTAATTGAATTCTTTACTGGGCACTCAATTACAATTATATTATATTTCTTCAAAGAATTTCAATTTTATAATATTTATTATATGAAACCACAATAATGACGCGTTAGTTGGAACGTTTGAAATGTTCATTGACTGACAGAAAGGAGCCGTTAACAATAGTTGAATATACATATGTACACATATACAAATAAATACTTATATTACCATTATATATATATATATATAAAAACATATTATAACTACATGCATACACTTGCAGTTCGAGAATTTCAATTATGCAAAAACAAGTTCAAAAATGGCTAACAAAAATGGCTTCAAGAATTATTACTACACCAAGCAAAGAAACAAAAAGTTAATCAAAACGATTAGAAAAATTTTATGAAAATGCAATCCGAGTTCATTTATAATGATCGATATATATATATATGCATATATGTGCTATATGGTTCAGTCAGTAACAATATTAATATTAATTACATGCAGACAGATATATATGCACGCAATTGTTAACAAATCGAGCAAACTACATATATGCTTATAAGGGTAGTCAGAAAAAGTTACGGGCTTCAGTTCAGTTCATGAGCAACAGAAGAAAAATATGCAAAAAGATTATATATTTATAATGTTATTTTTCCGTTTTGTATGTATGTGCATTCATGTTGTTAAAACTTTTGTAATATTTATTTGTTAATGTTGGAAATTTGTCAAAATATTGGATACGAAATATTTTTGTTACAAAACGTTGTAATGTTTTGATTTGATTAGAAAAAGCAAACAAATAAATAAGTAATGCATTTAATGCATGTACGCATTAAAAGTTGTTTCTATCGGGTCTGGGATCCGAAAACATACTCACCTCAAATCCAGCCGCTCTGCCCTTCTCTGAGAGCCCGGCAGCATCTTTATTGACAAGCGGCGCTCTATCAGCTTGAATGGACGGACTAATCGAACAGTCGCTGGTTGGCAGCCGTTAAAAGTGGACGTGTCCGGAGAGAGCAGCTAAAGCATCGTAGCTACCGTTACTATATCGTTTAATACTGTAGATTAGTTGGCCATATATTGTTCGGAAATGCAACGACTTGTGACGAAACGCAGCTGCAGCTTAGTGCTAAGGCTACACAATCGGTGCCTGGCCACCACATCTGTGGAGGATGTACTCTTTCCCACCAAGTCTGACTTTCCTAGTCGCCACATTGGCCCACGTAAGACGGATGTTGTTGCCATGCTCGATACCCTGGGCTTTAAGGTAAGCCTCTATAATACATAAATGACGAGACTAGCGCAGGATCTAACCTTCCTTTAACCCAGTCCTTGGCTGAGCTCACCGAGAAGGCCGTGCCACAGAGCATACAATTAAAGCGGGATCTAAGCCTGGACAAGCCTCTGAGTAAGTAGTGGAAAAGTATATAAAAATAGGCAACTACGCCGACACTTGCCAGCTCGGGACCCCCTGGCGTGTTTTTGTGTAGTGATAAGCGATAAGTCTGGTTCAATAGGTCCGCCAGCTCTCTCTTATCTGCTGCTGGTTTGATTTTGGTCTCTACGGCTGTCGTTGACTGGCGATTGACTCTAAATATTTTTCCAATCGGTCACATTCCAGACGAGCACGAGCTGATACGACGCATACGTGATATTTCGCTCAAGAATCAGCTGTGGCGTTCCTACATTGGCATGGGATACCATAATTGCCATGTGCCCCATACGATAGTGCGCAACATTTTCGAGAATCCCGGATGGACGACACAGTACACGCCCTATCAGCCAGAGATTGCCCAAGGTCGCCTCGAATCGTTACTCAACTATCAGACTCTTGTTTCCGAGCTCACCGGTCTGGATGTAGCCAACGCCTCGCTGCTGGACGAAGGCACTGCCGCCGCAGAGGCCATGTGCCTGGCCACACGGCACAACAAGCGCAGGAAGCTGTACTTGTCGAACAAAGTGCATCCGCAGACTTTGTCGGTGGTGGAGACGCGCGCTGAAGCCTTGGAGCTCGAAATTGTTGTGGGTCCTATCGAGCAGGCAGATCTTCCCAGCCGCGAGCTGGCTGGCATCCTGCTGCAGTATCCAGATACGTATGGGGACGTCAAAGACTTCGAGGACATCGCAGCTCTTGCTCGAAAAAATGGCGTAAGTTCTGCCCAAGATTTAATTACGAATTACTTATTCTTAACTATCCCGTTTTTCACACTTAGACTCTTGTAGTTGTGGCCACCGACTTGCTATCCCTCACTCTGCTTCGTCCGCCTGCTGAGTTCGGTGCGGACATCGCCATCGGCACATCCCAGCGCCTCGGCGTGCCCCTGGGCTATGGCGGCCCACATGCCGGGTTCTTTGCCTGCAAGCAGAACCTGGTGCGTCTAATGCCAGGTCGCATGATTGGCGTCACCCGCGATATGGACGGCAACGATGCCTATCGATTGGCTCTGCAAACACGCGAACAGCACATTCGCCGGGACAAGGCCACCAGCAACATTTGCACAGCCCAGGCGTTGCTGGCGAATATGTCTGCCATGTATGCCATTTACCATGGTCCGGAGGGTCTCAAGGCAATTGCCAATCGCATTCACCACTTTGCGCTAACTCTGCAGACGGGTCTGCTGGAGGCTGGTCATGAGGTAATTAACAGGAACTTCTTTGATACGCTGCGCGTGAGGCCCTCGGCGGATCTTTCCCTGGAGGATCTCAAGGAGCGAACCGAGCACAAACGCATCAATCTGCGTTACTTGTCCGACGGCACAGTGGGCGTGGCTCTGGATGAGACGGTTAGTGTAGCTGATGTGAACGATTTGTTGTGGACCTTCAAGGCACCAACAACGGTGGAGGAGCTGCTGGCGCGCAAGGACGTGCTTAAAAATTCCATTGAAAACTCCAAGTTTCTGCGTACATCGCCTTTCCTGCAGCATCCCATTTTCAACAGCTATCACAGGTAACGGCTGGTTACCAACCCAGGCTCAACGCTTGAGGATTTAGAACCTAACAGATCATTTTCCCTTAGCGAGTCCCGCATGGTGCGGTATATGAAGAAACTGGAGAACAAGGACATTTCACTGGTACACTCCATGATACCACTAGGCTCCTGCACCATGAAACTCAACTCAACGACCGAAATGATACCCTGCTCGTTCCGCCATTTTACGGACATCCATCCCTTTGTACCCGTTGAGCAGGCTCAGGGCTTTCATCAAATGTTCAAGGAGCTGGAGAAAGATCTGTGTGAAATAACCGGCTATGATAAAATATCTTTTCAACCTAATTCTGGCGCTCAGGGCGAGTACGCTGGCTTGCGTGCTATAAGGAGCTACCATGAGCACCGCAGCGAAGGGCATCGCAACATCTGCCTGATTCCTGTTTCCGCGCACGGCACGAATCCAGCTTCTGCTCAAATGGCCGGCATGAAGGTAACTCCGCGACTGCTAATCAATTATTATTTATTAACAGAGCCCATTGACTATCGTTTACAGGTGGAACCGATACGCATCCTCTCAAATGGCTCCATTGACATGGCACATCTGCGCGATAATGTAGAGGAGCACGCCCACGAGCTGTCCTGCCTGATGATTACGTATCCTTCCACCATGGGAGTTTTTGAAGAAACGGTTGCGGACATCTGCACATTGGTGCACAAGCATGGTGGTCAGGTGTATTTAGACGGAGCCAACATGAACGCCCAGGTGGGTCTGTGTCGGCCGGGCGACTATGGCAGCGACGTGTCCCATCTGAATCTGCACAAGACTTTCTGCATTCCACATGGCGGTGGTGGTCCTGGAATGGGTCCAATCGGTGTCAAAGCACACTTGGCACCGTATTTGCCTGGACACCCTGTCATCAGTCCACTAATCAGCGAGGAGCACAGCTTTGGTGTCGTTTCCGCAGCGCCCTTTGGCAGCTCGGCAATTCTCCCTATCTCATGGTCGTACATAAAGCTCATGGGTAATCGTGGCTTGAAGAGAGCCACTCAAGTTGCTATTCTTAACGCAAACTACATGTCCAAGCGCTTGGAAGAGCACTACAAAACACTCTATAAGGCGGAGAACTCACAGCTGGTGGCCCATGAGTTCATACTCGACATACGAGATCTTAAAAAGTCGGCCAACATTGAGGCAGTCGATGTGGCGAAGCGGCTAATGGACTATGGTTTCCATGCCCCAACTATGTCGTGGCCAGTGGCCGGCACGCTGATGATAGAGCCAACTGAGTCCGAGGACAAGGAGGAGTTGGATCGCTTTTGCGACGCGATGATATCCATACGAGAAGAGATTACCGAAATTGAGGAAGGACGCATGGATAAAACCGTCAATCCGCTCAAAATGGCCCCGCACACACAGGCCCAGGTCATTTCGGACAAGTGGAACCGCCCTTACACACGTGAGCAGGCTGCCTTCCCAGCTGTAAGTGTAAAACACATAGCACAATATATTTTCATACAAAACTGACTTTACTAATATTATCCTCCAGTTGTTTGTGAAGCCCGATGCAAAAATTTGGCCTACTGTTGGAAGAATCGACGATGCCTACGGCGACAAGCATTTGGTATGCACGTGTCCACCCATCCTACCAGACCTCTAATCAAATTGTATAGAATCTACCTTAATTAGGAAATAAACATGTATAAATACTAGCGTCCTATTACCCGGCTTTGCCCAAGCTAAGTTATTTCCTCAATTTTTATGCATCACAATTAACTTATTTTGCAGTTAAAATCATGAAAGAACCTCTATCAACCGTTGCAGATACATATATGTATAGCTTAGAATGTTTTTGTACTAACGCTTTATTGCCGAATGATTGTTCCCAATTAATATCCCAAAAGGACCCAGAAAAAGCATAAAAACACCATTGCAAGAGACAGACATACAGTCTGATATGACTACATCGACTCGGGTATTGATTATGTTCAAAAATACATCCATTTCTAATTCGGAGTGTTACACATTGCGTGACAATATTGTAACAACCTCTGCAAAAGTATGAAAGAAAAATAAGCAAACTATTCTCGCTCATGCCTCTTGTCCGTTAAGGGACTATTTAAAATTGGTTAAGCACGTATTCTAGTTCTTATACGACATGTTTCCAAAATAAATTAGAAGCCAATCTAACTCAACATAAACTATGCCCATACACCAGGAGGTTGAATTAACGAAAATTGTGAAATATATTCATTTTTAAAAAGATCTTTGAAAATGAGTTTGAAGCCGATCGGATGATAAAGAAACAAATTTTATTGGATGACATTTTTTTGGTGAAATTTCGTGGATAAAATTTTCCAAGCACTTGTGACCTCACGAGTAAGTCCATTTAAAAATTGTACTTCCTAGCTCATACAGTTTGGGTCGTGTGCTAGACTAATACGTCTGGACAATTATTTTAAATGTATGTTCTCTATTTGTCATGCCAAACAATTACGTAACAACTTATTCTATCCAAGACAACTATCATTTATCAATATAAATTTTTCTTAACTCAAAATATATATATTAAACGGGGAAAATGAATTGACAAATGTAGACAAGTCTACTAAGGAAAATGAGTCTAGACATTGCCGCATTTTAATGTTTTTAAATTTAAAAATATACCAATACAAGCTTTAAGAAACCACAGTATTTCAGAATAATTTATTGCATTTTTATTTTGGATTGTGGCATATGAAAGCCAAAATTAATAAATTATGCTTAAAATATTTATGAGTTTCTTTCAGATTCTACTTAAGCCAATGACCACAATTTTAAAAATCATAAACAAAATTCAAGAGCGCACGGATCTGGTTGCTTCTTCTTCACAGAAACATTCGCAACGAGCGGCGAAAAAATAATAGTCAATTTCGACAAGCCAATGCTAAATATATCGATATATATCGCAGTTGGCTCCGGCTCTGTTAACGTATGTGAGATCACTAACCAAATAACATATAGACCGGACAAACCCTACTTTTGATGGTGACATTCGATATTTCTGCGGCTGGTCCAAACTCGCCTTCGTTTTTGTTCGGGTTCGAGACATGCTCGCATGCTCTCAGAAGCAAGAGAGTAAGAATACATATGGCCTGTGTCGGGGAACGGCAACGCTGTCTTTTTACTCGCTCACTCTACAAGAAACTGCTGTGGCTTACTCTCATCCATATGATTTGTGCGATAGAACGGCATCGCTGTTTTTTATCTCGCTCCCACTACAAGAAACTGCTTTGGCTTACTCTCAATGCTCTTTCAATTTGTCTATGTACCGTTTAAATGTTTGTGTGTGTATGTGTCCGCACAAGCAAAAATGCCCACAAATTCAATTTTTCTCAAAAGTCGGTGGCATATCTTCCCTTTTGAGGGGACGAGTAATATAAAATAATGAAAGGGTTTGCCCCGTCGATGCGAAATTCTTTCATTTTAGCTCGTTCTTCTTCGAAAGGGTACCTAAGCGTTGGCATGTGTGCATTTAAAAGTTTTTGGACTTGCTATTCACGCATACTTGCGTATTTTGTATATGAATAGAAGCATTTATGCGCTTGTGTGCCTGTTGGTCCCTGCCTGCCTGTCCGATGCAAATTTGGCAATATTTTTGGACTTCTAAATTTCGAGCTCTGCGCACACACACACAGAGACACAAATGTGTGTGAATGGGCTGATCATGGGCGCAAAATTTAAAAATATCATTATCACGCGTCTGACGCGCGCCCTTCTTTTTATGATTTAGGGCTTGAATTGATGAATGAATGTTGACCCCTTATTACCTGCAGATCCAATTCATATATGAAAAAGCTAAATATTTTAAGACAATAAAATTATTAATACTATAAATATATAATTGCTCCTTTTTTGTATTTGGTATATGTGAATATTTTAAAGAGTTTATTTTTTACACAAATTTCCTAAAATTATTTAAGTGATCAATCACTTGACCTACATATGCAGGTGCAGGTGTTTGCCAAAAGTTGACCCTTTCGGCCCAACGGGCTGCTGCAATTAATAAGGGGTCAACATTCATTCATCAATTCAAGCCCTAAATCATAAAAAGAAGGGCGCGCGTCAGACGCGTGATAATGATATTTTTAAATTTTGCGCCCATGATCAGCCCATTCACACACATTTGTGTCTCTGTGTGTGTGTGCGCAGAGCTCGAAATTCAGAAGTCCAAAAATATTGCCAAATTTGCATCGGACAGGCAGGCAGGGACCAACAGGCACACAAGCGCATAAATGCTTCTATTCATATACAAAATACGCAAGTATGCGTGAATAGCAAGTCCAAAAACTTTTAAATGCACACATGCCAACGCTTAGGTACCCTTTCGAAGAAGAACGAGCTAAAATGAAAGAATTTCGCATCGACGGGGCAAACCCTTTCATTATTTTATATTACTCGTCCCCTCAAAAGGGAAGATATGCCACCGACTTTTGAGAAAAATTGAATTTGTGGGCATTTTTGCTTGTGCGGACACATACACACACAAACATTTAAACGGTACATAGACAAATTGAAAGAGCATTGAGAGTAAGCCAAAGCAGTTTCTTGTAGTGGGAGCGAGATAAAAAACAGCGATGCCGTTCTATCGCACAAATCATATGGATGAGAGTAAGCCACAGCAGTTTCTTGTAGAGTGAGCGAGTAAAAAGACAGCGTTGCCGTTCCCCGACACAGGCCATATGTATTCTTACTCTCTTGCTTCTGAGAGCATGCGAGCATGTCTCGAACCCGAACAAAAACGAAGGCGAGTTTGGACCAGCCGCAGAAATATCGAATGTCACCATCAAAAGTAGGGTTTGTCCGGTCTATATGTTATTTGGTTAGTGGTGAGATGCAGGCGGTTAGCCGCTGATATATTTACTCAGAGCAGGTTTCACAGCAAATTGATGATAATTAAAAATACAGTTCTTAAAACAACCACATTCTAACAAAATCAATTTGAAAATAATTCACACTGAAAAACGATTACCGGCATTTTTGACATAAGATTCTGTGCACGCTGTTAATAACATTTGAGAAAATGTTAGGCTGTCAGATGCCGAAAGCAACATATGTTGTTGTGTTGGTGACAGAAAAAGAAGCGTGCGCAGCGATAAACAAAATTCATTTTATAGAATTTGTTAAATCAATAAATAATATTAACTTGCTTTTGCATCGGCAACGGTACGAAAGCTACTAAGGGTTTTCAAATTCTTTTGAAATCATGAAAATCGAAGAAGTAAAGAGCACTGTGCGTACCCAACGCATCGCGGCGCACAGCCACGTGAAAGGACTCGGTCTGGACGAGACCGGGGCAGCCATACAGAGCGCCGCTGGCCTGGTTGGCCAGAAGGCAGCCCGTGAGGCTGCCGGCATCGTGGTTGATCTAATTAAATCAAAAAAGATGGCTGGCCGTGCCCTGCTCTTAGCTGGCCCACCCGGCACCGGCAAGACAGCCATCGCTTTGGCTATAGCACAGGAGTTGGGTAACAAGGTTCCATTTTGCCCCATGGTCGGCTCCGAAGTATTTAGCAATGAGATCAAGAAGACCGAAGTGCTCATGGAGAATTTCCGCCGCTCCATTGGGCTGCGCATACGCGAGACCAAAGAAGTATACGAAGGAGAAGTAACCGAGCTGACACCAGTAGAGACTGAGAACCCTATGGGTGGTTACGGAAAGACCATTAGCAACGTGGTTATTGGTCTCAAAACCGCCAAGGGCACCAAGCAGCTGAAGCTTGACCCAAGCATTTTCGATGCACTGCAAAAGGAGAAGGTCGAGGTGGGCGATGTCATCTACATTGAGGCCAACAGTGGCGCCGTAAAGCGTCAGGGACGCAGCGACACCTTTGCCACAGAGTTCGATTTGGAGACGGAGGAGTATGTGCCACTGCCCAAGGGCGATGTGCACAAGAAGAAAGAAGTTATACAGGATGTCACTCTCCATGATCTAGATGTAGCCAATGCACGCCCCCAGGGCGGCCAAGATGTGCTCTCCATGATGGGCCAGCTGATGAAGCCCAAGAAAACCGAAATCACAGGTAAATTTGCCGAAGTCTGCAATTCCTTGAGCCTGGTAACTAACTTTTGCTACTCACAGACAAGCTGCGCATGGAGATTAACAAAGTGGTCAACAAATACATTGATCAGGGCATTGCTGAGCTAGTGCCTGGCGTCCTGTTCATTGATGAGATACACATGCTCGATCTGGAGACCTTCACTTATCTGCACAAATCTCTAGAGTCGCCCATTGCACCCATTGTCATATTTGCCACCAATCGAGGACGCTGCGTTATTCGGTGAGCCTTGTCAACGCTTTTTGTTTTCTTTTCGACAGATTTATAATCTTTTTTCTGCTCGCCTGCAGTGGCACCACCGACATAGTCTCACCGCACGGTATTCCTCTGGATCTGCTCGATCGCTTGCTTATTATACGCACGCTTCTGTATTCTACCTCGGACATGGAGCAGATAATCAAATTGCGTGCCCAGACCGAAGGCCTCCAGCTGGAGGAGAATGCGTTTTCGCGGCTCAGCGAGATTGGTACAAGCTCCACTCTACGCTATGCCGTGCAGCTACTGACACCGGCTCACCAGATGTGCAAGGTAAACGGGCGCAATCAGATTTCTAAGGATGATATTGAAGACGTGCATTCCCTGTTCTTGGACGCAAAGCGCTCCTCAAAGCATCTATCTGAAAAGA